CGCTAAACCCTAAACCCTAAACCCTAAACCCTAAACCCTAAACCCTAAACCCTAAACCCTAAACCCTAAACCCTAAACCCTAAACCCTAAACCCTAAACCCTAAACCCTAAACCCTAAACCCTAAAACCTACACCCTAAACCCTAAACCCTAAACCCTAAACCCTAAACCCTAAACCCTAAACCCTAAACCCTAAACCCTAAACCCTAAACCCTAAACCCTAGACCCAAGCAGTGGGAGGCAATGAGAGCGGCCTCAGCAGTTCTCTGGCCTTCACGCCGGTGCAGGGTATCGAGTTGGCCCGGGCCTGGGAGTTGCAGTTTAGGGTTTAGGGTTTCGGGTTTAGGGTTTAGGGTTTAGGGTTTAGGGTTTAGGGTTTGGGGTTTAGGGTGTAGGGTTTGGGGTTTGGGGTTTAGGGTTTAGGGTTTGGGGTTTGGGGTTTGGGGTTTGGGGTTTAGGGTTTGGGGTTTAGGGTTTGGGGTTTGGGGTTTAGGGTTTGGGGTTTTAGGGTTTTGGGGTTTAGGGTTAGGGTTGGGGTTTAGGGTTTGGGGTATTAGGGTTTAGGGTTAGGGTTTAGGGTTTGGGGTTTAGGGTTTGGGGTTTGGGGTTTGGGGTTAGGGTTTGGGGTTTAGGGGTTGGGGTTTAGGGTTTGGGGTTGGGGTTAGGGTTTGGGGTGGGGTTTAGGGTTTGGGGTTTAGGGTTAGGGTTTAGGGTTTAGGGTTTAGGGTATAGGGTTAGGGTTTTAGGGTTTAGGGTTTGGGGTTTGGGTTTGGGGAGGGTTTGGGGTTTTAGGGTTTGGCGGTTTGGGGGTTAGGGTTGGGGTTTTAGGGTTTGGGGTTTAGGGTTTAGGGTTAGGGTTTGGGGTTTAGGGTTTGGGGTTTGGGGTTTAGGGTTTGGGGTTTAGGGTTTGGGGTTTGGGGTTTGGGGTTTGGGGTTTGGGGTTTGGGGTTGAGGGTTTAGGGTTTTGGGCTCTAGGCACGGGCAGGTTGCGGCTTGCGGGCTTCCTTCAGCACTTGTACCCAAAAGAGCAAAATGCTGAGCCCTAAACAGTAAACCCTAAACCCCAAACCCCAAACCCCAAACCCCAAACCCCAAACCCCAAACCCCAAACCCCAAACCCCAAACCCCAAACCCCAAACCCTAAACCCTAAACCCTAAACCCTAACCCCAAACCCTAACCGCCCCCCCTGAGTAGGAAGGTGCCGACCCAGGATGGCGACAGTCTGCACTTGTCTGTTTAGGGTTTAGGGTTTAGGGTTTAGGGTTTAGGGTTTAGGGTTTAGGGTTTAGGGTTTAGGGTTTAGGGTTTAGGGTTTAGGGTTTAGGGCTTAGGGTTTAGGGTTTAGGGTTCAGGGTTTAGGGTTTAGGGTTTAGGGTTTAGGGTTTAGTATTAGGGTTTAGGGTTGGATTTGGGGGTTTTAGGGTTTAGGGTTGAGGCTTGTTTGGGGTTTCGTTTCATGGGCCCTTAATTTCCATTACCCTCTTCAACAGGGTTCTGATGTATCGGCCCTTAATGTGAATAGGGTATATAAGGGGGATACAAGGGGTCCCCTTGTCAGGGCACATTTTAAGGGACCATGTAACTACCCTCGCGTTTTTAGCCATAGACACCGGGTTTTAAGGTTTCAAGGTTTGAGCTTAGAGCCTACCAGTTCCTAAGGACTTGCGTGACTCATAACTCCCCAAACCCTGAACCCTGAACCCTCAAGCAACAGAAGCCTCCCGTTTCAAGTCCTAGCCCTTAAGCCCCATCATTCCCAAGCCAGAAAGCATAAACTCCAAAGAAGGACCCCGAGACCCTAAGCCCTTGAACTCCTCAAAAGCCTAAAATGCCGGTGCCTCCCCCCCCCCCCCCCCAAAAAAAAAAAAGAGAGTAGAAACAAGCAAAAAGGAACAACAAGGCTTAAACAATCCGAAACCCCCCCCCCCCCCCCACAAAAAAAAGCACCTCAAAGGCCAACCCGAGCGCTCAGCGGAAGGCTCCAGATGTTGGCCCGGAGCTTGGGTGTTGAGGGCTTAGGCCAGCTAGGGTTTAGGGTTTAGGGTTTAGGGTTAAGGGTTTAGGGTTAAGGGTTTAGGGTTTAGGGTTTTGGGTTTTGGGTTTTGGGTTTAGGTTGGTTTGGCCGCACTGGCCGGGCAATCTGCATCTTCGCGCATGTGGAGAGACTGGCCTTGTGCAAAGCAGAGTCGTGCACAGCTGAAGAATGAAATCCAAGCTCGAAACCCTAGGACACCCTAAGCTAGCCTCCGCATTAAAAATAAGCCCCTAAAAGGAGCCGTAGTTTAGGGAACTGCCCTAAACAGAACCCCGAGGCGCCATGTGGAAAGCCACCTGTAGGGTTTAGGGTTTGGGGTTTAGGGTTTAGGGTTTGGGGTTTGGGGTTTGGGGTTTGGGGTTTGGGGTTTGGGGTTTGGGGTTTGGGGTTTGGGGTTTGGGGTTTGGGGGTTAGGATAGCCTCATTTCGAGCTCCTCAATGCTTTGGAATAGCGAGCCGACAGCCGCCAAGGCGAGAAATACTTCTCGAACTCCGCCGGCTTCGTCAACCTTGTGCACAGCCAAGCATGCTTCACTGCGCATGTGCTACTGTCAGCTTAAGAACCCCCCCCCCCCCAAAAAAAAAGAAGAATATAATTGTCCCTATGTTACACATATATATATATATACATATATACGTGTTTTTTGGCTAGTTCTTAAGCAAATGGTAGTTTGGGGCTGAGGCTGTAGGGGTTCATGAGCGGCCCTTTTTTCCATCGAAACGACAAGAAGCATGGTGCCAGAGGGCCGAACTCGGGTTTAGGGTTTAGGGTTTAGGGTTTAGGCTTTAGGGTTTATGGTCTGGCACAGGTAGGTTTTGGGGGGTTGGGGTACTTCTTTTGTTTACATTGGCATAGTGTACCTAGAGCCTCCATTGCTGTCTCTCAGGGATTTCCCCCCTTATACTAACAGTCCTCAATAGGGATCATAATAAGAGGGGGTACTAGAATCCCTATCAAGGGCTGCTAGTATAAGGGGGAACATCCCTAGCTGTCGGCCTCCACTGCTGCCTCGCTGAGGCGACACCCGTGCGTGGCTGATTGGCGCCCTTGGGGTCTGATATTCGCCCTTGGCAGAGACTCCGCACACTCGGCAGTCGCCTCTCGCTGTCGCTCCCTTCTCCTACATTGGCGACATATACCAAACTCTAGCTTGTTGCAAGCAATATCATGGATGATCCTTGGAAGGGTGCTGACAGAGAGGCGAGAGTAAACTGTGAAGCCAGCGACAACGCGGCAAGACGGCGCAGAGGCAGCGAGATGTAGGGCAGCAAAAAAAGGCCCGCAGGGTTGTAAAGGCTGTAATGTATATGAGGTGCCTGCAGTCTGCAACAAAACACAGCAATTCAGAAAGGCGATGCCTATGAACTTGCTTGCACATGATATGTTCTTAATTTGTTATATATGGTGGCAGTTTAGTGTTTATGTATATACGTACAAATATACTATCCTGGGGTGCGATGAGGCGTCTGCAGGAACGAGAGTGTCCAAGTCCTGAATTGACTATGGCATGCTGCTGCAACAACGGTTCCGGCAAAGCTTGCGTTGGGGATCCCCAAACCCCAAACCCCAAACCCTAAACCCCAAACCCTAAACCCTAAACCCTAAACCCCAAACCCCAAACCCTAAACCCACTCCAGGCTGCAAGGCTGCCGGAAGTTCGCCGGTTTTCACCCTGAAAGGCTTCTTATGTTGGTTCAGAAGCCCCGGACCTCATCCCGGAGGTCTCCTAGAAGGTGTAGGGTTTAAGGTTGAGGCTTTAGGGTTTAGATGGTTAGAGGGTTCAGGGCTTAGGGTTTAGGGTTTAGGGTTTAGGGTTTAGGGCAACTATGGGTTGAGGATTGCGGGAGGTGTGGGGTGGCGTTAGAGCAGGTTGCCGCGAAGCCCCGCCGCAGGATCATGCAGAGACTCCAATTCCCATTTCCCATCGTTGGCTTGGTGGTTTAGGGCTTAGGGTTTAGGGTTTAGGGCTCCTTTTTGGGGTATTCGCATCCCGATAAAACCCCAAAGGTTAACCTTACATTCCCTCGGGTTACTGGACATCTAAGTTGGGGCTAGGTATGTGAGCATTGATCCTTGTTTGCTGGGGTAATATTGGCGCCAGAATAGTCTAGAATGGGGTTTTGGGTGTTCTTATAGTATAATTGCAAAGGGGCCATCAGGGAATACTATGGGTAGTTCTTCCGACCCCTAAAATTACTCGAACTCCCACTGAAGTCTATGGGCACTTTAAATTCCCTGAACTCGTAATCCCTGAACTTAAAAATTAGACCACGCCAGGGGGCTACTGGGTTAGACCTTCCTGCGTGTCAGGAGGGGTTTTGGTCTTCTTGGGTTCTTAGTGAGGAGCTAGGTGCCTTTGCAACCCATTACAACCTTTTCATCACCCTTTGAGGGATCCCCGTGGAACCGACCTGGTTAATTCCTTATCCCTAAAGCCTTGAGAGCTTGTGACAAGTTTTAATTCGCGCACATTAAACCCTTACACCTCTAAACCCCATATCGTTCGGACAAACCAAGACCCCGAATCAACGTGGTATCATCGCTCGCACACTTGATATGGGGGGGGGGGGTTCCGAACATAGGGGAACCCCGTATAATTATACCCGAATCCGGTAGATACCCAAGAACACCCTACTCCTTTTCATAGCAACCCCCTAAAATAGGGCACCTAAACCCTAAAACCCTAAAACCCTAAAACCCTAAAACCCTAGAACCCTCAAACCCTCAAACCCTAAAACCCTAAAACCCTAAAACCCTAAAACCCTAAAACCCTAAAACCCTAAAACCCTAAAACCCTAAAACCCTAAAACCCTAAAACCCTAAAACCCTAAACCCCCCCATGTGGTCATTGTTCTTTTGCCTGTTGTGGTTCAAGTGGCACTGGCCTCTTTTCGAATCCCCCCCCCCTTTTAAGAAGGGGCCCTTGCACCCCGAAATAGTAGGATCCCTGTGTCGAGCGTCGCGATGCCTACTCCAAGCTACCAAGAAGCATCTGCGTTGGCCGGCGAGTTCCTTACTTAGCCAAGAATTTGTTTAGGGTTCAGGATTTAGGGTTCAGGGTTTAGGGTTTAGGGTTTAGGGTTTCCTTATTTAGTGGGAATCATAAAGCTTAACCTTTTTTTCGTCCCTGGGTCATTGGAGAAGTAAGGTTCGAGATTCTACGCGAGGAAGTCCTTGCCAAGTTTGAGCAAGTCTATGCTCACTTGAGCCTAGGTTTATCCTTTCCTTTGTTTGTGAGGGGAGGGAGGGGGGTTATACGGGACCCTCTACTCTGTATGGTATTTTCGTCCTCTTTTTTTGTTTGGGGAGGAAGGGGGGGGGGGACCCTACATAGGTAGATACTTTTCGAAGGCCTTTAAAAACGAAGCCTAAGCCCTAAACCCTACGTGTTTCGAAGGCCCTAAGAAGGGGCCAACCCAGGAACGCCTTGGAGGCCCGGATGGAAAGCTTGGCGGAGGAGAAGGCCGAGATCGTCAGTGGCATCATCACCTGTGAGATTGGGATTGGGGACGATACTTGCCTACCTGCTTGTTCGCCAGTAGTTGAGATTTGTAGACTTTTTGGGCTTCCTTATTTTATAGGAGTTGTCAAGTCTAGCTTTTTGTTTAACCCTTGGTTACTGGAGAAGTGAGGATATACCTGTGGGAGGCGCGGGGAATGAGCCTCCTGCGGAGAAGCCGCCCAACAATCAGAGCCCGCCGGCTGCCAAAGGAGCAGGTGGCTCGGACCCCACGAGCCTCACATGCTCGCTCGAGGGCGTGGCGAGTGTGGTCGAAGATCCCGAAGATCAGATGGGCATGGTGCCCTTTGCCGAAAGTGCTTGGACCTACCCGGTGGTCATTGGACTAGTGAGAGCTGGTGTGGTGGAGGCCATTTTTGCAGTGGTGCTGTTGCTGGTGAATCTCTTCATGCAGATGGCATTCATGGTCATCATCCTCTCCCCCGATTTTCTTCCGGGGGATATTGCGGACCAGATTGACTTCGCGAAGCAGTGGCGCAGAAGCGTGGGAACACTCAAGAAATACTCCAAATCTAGAGCCGAGGTTGAGGGTTTAGGGTTCTTTCCATTGTAACTCACAAGCCAAATCATAGTTCCAAAACTGACAACTGACATCACTTTAACATAACTGCAACCCCGGCAATGATTTTCTGATTTTCTGTCCCCCCCGGAGAAGCTTTTGCCTACGCAACAAATTTACAAGATTTGCTGAGCCAGTAGTTGAACTTTAAACTTTGTGGGTTTCCGTATTTAGTAGGAAGAAGTAGTCCCCACCCTAAACCCTAAACCCCTAAACCCTAAAACCCTAGGACTCCCAACTGGTTCATTTTTTTCGCTTCCAACTCACTTTCCGTGAACACCCATCAGCGTTTCTGAGCGAATCCCATCCCTAAGCCCTAAGCCCCAAACCCGAAACCCCAAACCCTAAACCGTAAACCCCCAACCCTAAGCCCTCAACCCACGCCCGAAGGTGGCCCATGACCATCAAAACCTGGACTTAGCAGCGACCTCTTTGGCAAGCCGAGTTTGCAATGGCGATGGCGGGGGGGGTGGGGGGGGGGGCAAGTAGGGCAAAGGTGCAGGAAAGGTTGAAAGGTTTAGGGTTCAAAGCTTAGGGCATATGGTTCAAGGTTTAGGGTTTAGGGTTCATGAAGGTTTAGCGCTTTGGGTTCAGGGTTTCGGGTTTGGGTTTTAAAGTTTAGGGTTTAGGGTTTAGGGTTTAGGGCTTAGGGCTTACGGTTTAGGGTTCAGGGTTGTGGGTTTAGGGGTTTGATCCAAGCTAGCTGCTGGTAACTCGTAATCGGGTGTCGTTACCAGGTAAGCAGAGCTTTGCTTGATCGCTGCAATTCAAGGCCCACATGTAAGACAAGCTGCTTGCGCGTGTGTGCAGTATAGTTGGGAGTTCTTCATCAGTCGGGGTGTTCGGAACCCGGGGTTCCCAACGTACGGGTAGGTGCGAGCTACTTTACACAGCACTTACATGGTGCTTACAAAGTGCCTGCACATTGCTCACTCGGTGCTTACATGGTGCTTACATGGTGCTTATATCGTGCTTACATGGTGCTTACGTGCTGCTTGCATCGTGCTTATGTGGTGCTTACATGCTGCTTACATGGTGCTTATATCGTGCTTACATGGTGCTTGCATGCTGCTTACATGGTGCCTATATCCTGCTTACACGGTGCTTACGTGGTGCTTACATGCTGCTTACATAGTATTCAGTTACAGACTAAACCCCAATCATCCTGAGAAAATTTCCTTGACATTACCGTATGCAGGTAAGTAGTATAGGGCACCAAACTACAGACCTTGATCCCTAAACCCCTTAACCTTCATTCCTCGACTCCCTCATCCCCAACCCCTCACCGTCAATACTTCAACCCCTGAACCTTAATCCCGTTTCCCCTAAGCCCAATTCCCAAACCCTAAACCCTAAACCCTAGACCCCTCATCCCTAGACCCCAAGTATCCAGAATTCTGCCCGAAACTCGGAGCGCCCGCACCAGGTGCCTTGATCGTCTCAACACGACAGGCGACACTCCTGGAGAACATCGACAATTATATCGGTGTCTGGTCGGAATTACGGGGTTTGGGGGTTCCCTAAACCCTAAACCCTAAACCCTAAACCCTAAACCCTAAACCCTAAACCCTAAACCCTAAACCCTAAACCCTAAGTTCTGAGGAGTTCAGGGCTAGGCTTGGAGTAGGGAACGCCGTGGCGCAGTCGGCATTTTTGCAAGGAACACGGTGCCTTTTCTTCTGGAGTTTGCGCAACTTTTACAAGGCCAGTGGTAGTTTACTTTGGAGACTGGAATGCGGTGCATGCACGGCATAGCGAGGTTTTCCGTGCTTCCACTTCATGTGATGCTTTGTTGTACGAAGACTTTGACTCCTGTGGTTGTTTTGATCTGCGAGTTTACACACTAGACTCCAGTGACTAGAGTAAACTTACACCCACAGCCTGAGGATTAGCCACGGACGCTTTTGAGCCAGAGTTTTTCCAACCTGGCGTCTTGCTGTCGGTGCTATGCATCCTCCTGTGGAGCTTGTGTGTCTACAAGGAGCTTCGAAGCATCCTGGCTTGCGGTCAGATATCTTTTTTGAGGTATCTACTGGTAAACCCTAAACCCTTTTTGTTGGGGGGTTGGCTGGGTGGATGGGCTGGTGTGGGTGGGTGGGTGGGGGGGTGTAGCGAGACCTTGAGTTTCGTAAGTTACAACACATTTTCTACATGCTGTCACACACATACATATATATGTATATATATATATAGATATGGTACCCCCCCCCAAGGATCTACCGTTTCCCACCATTTTTGAATAATGAAGCAAATTTTGAATAATTATATATATATATAGATATATATATATATGTAGACATAGATATATATGTACACACGTGCATTCAACCCATTTCCCTAAACCTGAAACCCTGAGCCCTATCCATGACCCCTGAACTCCAACCCCAAACATGTTTCTTCTCTTGGAACTAGTAATTGCTTAAGTACACCCCCCCCCCCCCCAAAAAAAAAAAAAAAGTATTATCCTTATAAGGGGCAAGATAGGGATTATTATCTCATTCTTCTTCTTAACATCAGTAGAATGTCTTGGGGGGTTCCTATATTATGGTTTTCATGATCACCATTCTGATGTTTTTTGTTTGGGGGGGGGGGGTTCTTAAGCAGGAAAGCTTTGATTGTAGTGCCTCTGAGCCCAGCCCAGGCATCGTGCACGCCTTTGAAGCCGTACGGAGAGTCCCGCGCTCCGCCACGACGGTGTTGCACGAGAACCTGGGTTGAGGGTTGAGGGTTGAGGGCTCAGGTTCTTTCGCGTTTAGGGTTTAGGGTTTAGGGTGTAGGGTTTTTGGGCTTTTGGGGCTGTTAGGGTTTTTAGGGCTATGGGGAGTGCAGGGTTCAGGACTAGCCTAGGTAGGCCCTTGGGCTATTTTTAAGATTTCCCCTTTGTGGGGGTTCAAGGGGATCCTATTCAGGAATCATTTTGGGTGTAGGGTTTGGGGTTGAGGGATGAGGGTTTAGGGTTTGGGGTTTAGGATGGCTTGTTTTAGGCGCCAAACAAGGAACGTCTTGCTGAGCCTGTCTCGTGGCCGGTACAAGGTGCCTTGGTAGCCCAGCGGTACCCTTTTGCCCCTTTTGAGTTCTTGGTTCCCCGTCTCAATTATAAAGTAACTAACCCTAAACCCTAAACCCTAAACCCTAAACCCTAAACCCCAAGCCCTAAGCCCTATACCCTTATTGCAATATGGTTACTGGGCTACCAAAGGTGCTCAAGGCAACGTACGTCTTGCGAACTTTCATCGCAGTTGCGCTCTTGATGTCTGGAATTCGGTGGCTGGCACAAACAACATCTATCACTGAACTGATGCTGAATGCCGTCGCCTTGAATCTTAGTTGTAGAGTAGGTAATCCTTTAACCTTTTTGGGGTATTCAAATCCCCACAAAAACCCAAGTGTTAGCCTTTAGTTGACACAGGTTACTGGTTACAACTAAGGAATGCCATTCTGGATGTGGACGAGTTTCTAGGACCCGGAGTAGGCCCTTTATTTCCTTTCTTTTTAGGGTCGGGACTCCCTTAAACCACTCCCTTAAAAGCCCTAAACCCGAAAACCCTAAACCCGAAACCCTAAACCCTAAACCCAAGCCAGTACCCTTGTAAATCCTAGGGCGATCTCCCGGGCCTAGGTTTCTCTTCGCAGGGTTCACCCCGATGACTCTACACCTCGCCATCCAAAAGCTGGAGCCGCTGCCGATGAAATATACGGCGCGCCGCAACAAGCTCCCAGGTCGGTTTAGGGTTTAGGGTTTAGGGTTTAGGGTTTAGGGTTTAGGGTTTAGGGTTTAGGGTTTAGGGTTTAGGGTTTAGGGTTTAGGGTTTAGGGTTTAGTGTTTATGGTTTAGGGTTTAGGGTTTAGGGTTTAGGGTTTAGGGTTTAGGGTTTAGGGTTTAGGGTTTAGGGTTTAGGGTTTAGGGTTTAGGGTTTAGGGTTTAGAGTTTAGAGTTTAGGGTACGGGGGGCAACCGAAGGAGGACAGGGAACAAAACAGTCAACCCCAACAGAAGCCCTTAATACCCCTGGAACAACCAACAACTGAACAGCAAGACCCCAAACCAAGGGCACACTTTTTACGAAACCTTCGACCGCTTTGGTCATGGCTTGAGCCAACTTGAGCCAACGATTATCGGGTTCATTGACCCTTTAACTTCCAATACCAACTCCTTTCTACAATACCAATTGCAGCTCCGCACTCCCCCTGTCCTAGGATTTCCTAGGACACATTGGAGGTGCAGATCTTTGGCCAAAAACCGCCATTTAGGCAGCAGCCAGCTGCTTGAAATGCATATTATGGTTTAACGTCATCCAGGACGAACCTTCAGCTCATTGGCTGAATCCTTTACCATTGAGGATTTCTTCACCTCGCACTTGGAAAATTCACGTTCCAGCGGCCCGTTCCTCACCAAGGAACTCAGCATTCACCACCCAGCCATCCTTGAGGCAATGCTTACAAAGCGTTTTAGCCCTGAGTTGTGAATATCGCAGAACATCACAGTCACTGCTTGCGTGCATACAGTTCCCACCCACTGTTGTATACAAAGTGGCACTCGCAGGAATAACCACCGCTTTCTTTATCCACAGCCATTTATACAGCCGTCGAAAGAGGCACCATGCCAGTTCCCAGAGTATAATTGCTGCCACCAAATATGCAACAAGGTCTGAATTGTTGACAACCATTTCAATACCTTGAGCCAGAACCATCACCGTAGACGTGTTGGCGACCTTGCACACCCCTTCTGCTGAGCAAAAGAATCCAGCCGTGGACACTTCTTCGCCACCAGTTGCCATCCCTTGCAGAGATGCAGCCACCATCATGACCGCCATTGCAAGCGAGGCTTTTTTCAAATCAGTCCCTTGTACCAACAGTCGGAGACCCCAAAGTGCCTTTTGCTTTGCATACACCTGTCCACTCATCAATTTGGTCAACAGGTCAGCGATCATATACTCACCGCGAAGATGCGCTATCACCATATAACCACGGTCCACCAGAGACCTGACACCGGCTGCTCGAATTCTCAGGTGTCTTGTCCTCCAGCTTCCAGCAGGATATTGAATGATCGAGCACGTTGAGACCGAATCTGTATACAGCACTTTTTGCAGCGATTCTTCACCTGTTCCAACCAAAGCGGCAATTATAGGGGTGCACGACTGAATCATCGTTGCTCCCTCTATGGACGCATGTAATTCAGCTTCAGCTGTACTTAAAGCCACCGTTGATTGTCTTTGTGTTGCCCACATCACTGGACAGTCACCCCACACCACCACCGCTCCTGAGTGGCTCTTTTCGTTTTCACCTGCTGCAAAGCTGGCATCCGCGTAGGACTCCACCACCTTAACGCCTCGTCCATAACGCAACACCTCATTTCTTTCTTTTTCGCATGTTGCGATTGCTCCGAACGTCAAGCCTAACGTTGGAGTTGCAGCAAGGTATCGGAAAACTTCCTCAGCCTTTTTAACCACAAATCGCGGCCTTCGGGATGTCCACAAAGACAACTGGCTCGTGCAGAACGCCAAATCAGGTCGAGTTTTGATTGCCACCCAGAGGAACTCCCCTACGGCACCTTGAGCCGCTCGCAAGGAGGGAATATCCACCTCCTCTTCTTCACCTGGAGTTTCTTTCACCATTGGCAGGTTACTCCCTTTTCCAGTTTCATCGATCTGATACCCTCGTCGGTTCAGCAAATCTCTCACAAAGTCCTCCTGGTTGAGAAAGAAGCTGCCATTTCGATACCAGATTTGGACACCTAAAAACTTCAGGAATCCATCACCGCAGCCTGGACCACAGAACTCGGGTTCAGAAGTTTTCCACTCCTTCCTAATCTGTTCCAAGGCCTCCCGGAGCACTGTCATAGTCCCAGCCATCAAAAAATCATCCACGTAAAGACCCATTGTCCCTACCAACTTGCTTGTACCTTCCAGCTTCTCTTGCGCCATAATAAGGAACAGACTTGGGTCTGCATTGGACCTCTGAAAGCTCATTGCTTGTCCATCCTTTGACACCCAAGACATCCCTTGAAGACGTTGGTCTCGCCACTCCACCCATGCTGCAGGACTTTCGGCCAAACCGTACAAGGCCTTCCTCACAATCCACCGCTCCTCTTTTGTGCAAAGACCCAAGTTCACCGCCGCCCTTGGGGGCTGCACCACCACCAAACGCCCTTCTCTTTGCGCCCTATTCATCGGCGCCGTCAGAAAAGCTTTGGAAATGTCTAAGCCAGCGATGATCCACACCATATATGCTGCGTGCCTCACTTGACACCTGAATGTAGTTGAATCTAAACCTGGAGCGTACAGCGAGTGACGACTGAGTGACCTCGGCCCTTCATATTCTGTAGCTGCCGTTGACGAAATGAAGTTTCCACATGCACAGATACGGGCACGTCGCCTCCCTGTCCCTTGCCTCCGGGTAAACACCACCAGACTGGGAACGTACTCAATCACCGGTGCATTAGGCTCTTCCGCCAATTTGTCCAGCTTTTCTTGAGTTGTTGGTTCCACCACCTCCAACTCTTTCACCACAGACGTCACCTCGTCCGACAATGATTCCCTCCACTTTTCCAGCTCTTGCATGGCTTCTTGTGTAGGAATTGTTTTTGTTTGCAGGAACTCAACCTCCTCTGCTGCCTCAAGCGCGGTATTTTCTTGTACCATTTGCTGAACTTGAGCTGCTTTGACCAAAAACTTCGAGAGCTGTTCCTCAGCCCTTTTTGCTTTAACCAGCCATTCTCTAGTCTCTGATCCTTTTTCTCCATTCGACTCATTGGCCGATCCATGGAACTCGTCCAAAACGCAACATTCCTGTTCAGCAATTAGGCGTCGAATACTCAAATGCTCCTCTAGAGCCCATTGATGCGCTTCGAACACAGCGTAGTCGACTTCCTCTGCAAGGTCGTCCAGCGAGGTCTCTTTCAACGTCAGTTTTAACCATTTCCTTTTTTCACCTTCTTCAGCTTGTGGTTCCGGAAGAGGAAACTTGCATTGGAGAAGATAGCACCTATCCTTGTAGCTCAAACGCTCCATAAAAACAGGTGTGTACCCTGTCAAGGATACCCTGTTCCCTTTCCAAGGCATAGGACCATGCAGTTTTCTCGGAAAGAACGACATGAAGTTCCAGTGGATATCGACCAATTTTCCAGGTAGGACTTTCTTCCCATAAGATTGCTCCACCACTTCAGCTCCTTCCTCTAAAACCTTTTCGTCCTCAACCCACAGCTGACCATCTTTATAGTCACCAAAGCCACACACATAATTGCAGCAATGTTTTTCATTGTGACTATCCCTATGCAATGACACCGGAGCATTGCACGAGATCTGAAGAGCAGAAAATTTGGCTTCGGGATTGTGGTGCCTCACGAATGATGTCAAATAACGGCATAGCCATGGTCTTCGATGAGTCTCTTTTGTGATACCACGCACTCCGCCATGAGTATAGTGGCCCAACACCAGAGCTCGCGCACTTGTACACCAATTGTTGATACCACCTCTTCGATTCACCCTCTTTGGGTATACAATCCCTTCCAAAAGCTCCTCACAGTCCACGTAATCATACATAGACCTTTCATACATTGACTTGGCTTTTTGCTCTTCTTTTTCAAACTGTGTTCCATCCTCAGCAGTCTCACTTTTGCAGACCAAATAAGCATTTTCATGAGGAGAACAGCAAGTCGGCCAATACTCATCACCAGGAACATTGTCCTCGACATCTGCATTTTCTTCCAGCTCCCCCAGACCCTGCATGTCATCCTCGAAAATTTCTAAGGGCGGACTCTCCCCCCGCTTGCGAAGCAAGCGCAAGGAGCCCACATGACCACGCAGTGAAGAGGCCGGGCTTTTTTCATTTAACCGATGACGAACTGGAGGATCGCGAGGCGGAGGTAAAGGAGGACCTTCCTCATCAGCGAACCGAAGCGCCGGTTTTTTCCCTTGAGACGATGCTCTGGAGGAGAAGGCTCCTGTTCTTCTACCACCCCTTCCAGCTCCAATTCAGGCGGTTCCTTTATATTGGAAAAAATCGTAGTGCAGGGAAATAACACCAGTTCATCCGGATCTTTTGCAGTCCCTTGAGCTTCCACCCAATAACCACCAGGTAGGTCATCGCATGGACCCAAAAGAAGCGCAGGCTGCGTACGATCGACCCATTGCCGACCTTTCTTTGTTCCATCCGGACCCAGCAACTCCCATGGACGACGTTTGACTTGAATCTGAGCACCAAAGGGAAGCAATGCTTTAGGATTTAACCCCAACTCCCTTTCAGCTTTCTGCCACCGTAACATTGACCAATGGCGAGCAGCCAGTGCCCAGTACGCCGGTCCGAGTCGCGCCTCCTTTAAGAGCGACCTGACACCACGTTTGAATAAACCCACACATGCTTCAGCGCGCCCATTTGTTTGCGGGACTCCAGGATCACCAGTGGTCCTATATATCAGACGAGTTTCACAAAAGGACCGGAAACGTGCATTGACAAACTCCCCCGCTCGATCTGAGTGAATTCTCAACACCGGATACCCATGTCTCTGCAAGCGCACCATCATTCTTTGAACTGCCGATAAAACAGTTGTTTGCTGTTTGTCCACAATCGGCTCCACCATAACGAAGTTGATCATACGGACCGGTTGGGTCAAGTGGTCCTTCAGTTCCTTCCAGGATTTTTCAGAAGCTT